CAGTTTCACGCTCAGAGCTTCTGTGCTGCTATCTAACCATCTCATCCTCTGCCGTCCTCTTCGCATTTTGCCTTCAATCGTTCCCAGCATCAGGGTCTTTTCCAAAGAGTCCTCTCTTCGCAAGAAACCTCAGTGCTGCAGCCAAATTCTCCTTGTGGGAAAACGTCTTTCAGATCTTTCAAGTATCCCTTAGGGGCTGATCTACAGAGACCACAAGGCCCTTCTTTTAAGGTGGAAAGTAGTAGGGGAAGGTAAGGCGGGAGGGGGGTTAAAATTGCCAGCCTCTCCCTCCATAATGCAGCCTTAGGCCAAGATGGGATCCTGCCCTGCCAAAGACTCCAGTCCTTTGAGTGGCTTCCAGGGATTGAACCTTGGTCCGTGTGTGTTGGAGGCGTCCTAGACGTTTTAGAAGAAGGAATCCTTCCAATTTTGGAGGTTGCTGCTGTGACGTAACAGCTGCACGAGGTTACCCAGCGGGTGTGGAACAGCCTGAAGAACCGCAGAGGCTGGTGATCATCGTGGCTATGGCCTTGTTTTTGGAGGCCAGGAGTAGGAGTAAGATGACAGGCTGAGAAAGTACACCCAGGCCTGGCGGCTGGGGAGGACCCATGCTGCTCCTCCCCTTTTGTATTTTAGGGGCTGCTTCATGGTTGGAAGGGAAGCAAGATGCAAAACAGCTCAGAGGCTCCTGGAGTGCTAGACACAGGTGCAGACAGGCTCTTTCCTTAGCAGAAAATGGGCAGCAGGAGCCCTGGTGTGCCCTGTCTGGAGGTCTCCCCCCACATCAAGTCCAGGGAGGCTGCGATGGTGCCAGGGATGAGGCCTTGTAGGTGGGGTGCTCCCTCCTGCACCATGCACTGTGATTCTCAGGATGGACTGCAACTGTTAATTTCCTTGCAGAGCCCGGAGGAGAGTTCTGTGGAGAGACTTGTTCTGGGTCCAAAGGCCTGGCGTGCTTCGAACGGCAGGGCGCCTTGCTTCCCTCCTAGGAGGTGCTGAGCTAAGCTCAGGGAGAGGAAGCCCAGGCAGCACCCCTGAAGAGAAGTCCTTTGGGAGGACATGCTGGCTTGCAAGTCAGGAGCCAGGTGGTGGTGGGTAGGTCTGCAGAGGAAGGCCGCAGCTTGTGGGGAATCACCTCTGGTTTTGGGGGGTGGGGTGGCTTCTTGCTGGGAAGGGCCTTTGAAAAGCCAGTGGCTCCTGCAGGGCTGCCTCCTGTGAAGCAGCAGGCGACTGGTGGCCTTCCTCAAAGGCGAGAGCCCAGGCAGACCAGGGGTTCAGCTGGAAGAGACCCACGGCTTTTCCTCTTCCCTTTCTCCAGCAGAACCCAGCACGCCAACAGGAAAGGCCCAGGGCTGTGGCAGTGGGTGGGGAAGGGGTAACCAGGGAGACCTTTTGTCCCTCCCTCATCTGGTGCCCTCCAGATGTCAGCAGAGCCACAGCTGCAAAACTTTGAGGAGCCATTCTGGAGAGCTGCCAGGCCCTGCATGAGGCTTGTGGCCCCTGTGATTGGCATACTGTTGGGGGTCCCCACCATCTGGCAGCCATGTAGGTGTCCAGCAGCAGTGTGCATGCTGCCACCCTAACCCAACTTGAAATCAGCACTGCTGCGATGTCTCCCGAGAAGCCCCCCCACCCTTGGCCCCGCAAGGAGCAGGAGCAACCAGTCCCGCCAGGCCGCCTTGGAGACATGCGAAGGCAAGGCCCGTGGGGGGCTCGGGTCCTCTTTGTGGGTGCAGGGACAGCATTCCATGGGCAGCGGGCCCCAAGGAGTGAGATCTCTGGCCTGGCCAGCTCTGCTCTCGCTCGCTCTGAGCCTGCTGAGGTCAGCTTCGCTGCCGGACTGCAGAGAGGTCCTGCTTTCTTTTTGGAGCTGGCTGGCGGCTGCATAGCCTCGAGACGCAAAGAAGCCAAGCAGCTCCATTGCTGACAGTCGTGTGGTATTCTTT